TCAACTGGATTTTATCAAAAGCTTCACCTCAACCATTGCTGCTCCGTGGCCATTTCTAAAAAAAATCTGAATCTCCTTCACAGATCTGATGTAGAGTCATAATTATAGATCCAATTTGCTCATCGAGGCTTGCTTTTGCGATGTCGATACCGGTTTCAACCGTGAGAAATCAAAATCGAAAAATAAAAGGAAAATGAAATTGAAATAAAGAAGGAAACCAAGATCGAAGAAAAAGTTGAGTTCTAAATCAAAAGAAAAAAGAAATAGATTATGAAATTGCCCTTGTGCAAAACCTTGTTCATTGCTAGAGTTGTTGCCCATGAAAACGAATCTGAAAGAGTACTATGAACATGCAATTCTTGGAGCTCATTTGACAATAAGGAGATGGAAACAAGATATAAAGATCTTTGTTGGAAAAAAAGGATAAGTTATGGGGGCATTGTTGTCATTCAATACAAAAAAAAGTTGGGATTTAAGGAAATGAGAAGTTAATTTTAGGACAACCCAAAAAAGAAAGTGAGAAGTTAATTTTAGGACGGAGGGAGTATAAAAATAATTTCAATCGAAAAATAAGTAAGTAAACTCAGTTTATCTCATATTTCCAAAATTATTATTTTTTATTTAAAACACAAAATAGATTCTTATTTAATCATAAATATAATGTTAAAATTTTTATTGACAAAAAATTAAAAATGGACAAATATTATGAACACAAATATATTTAAAGATAAGCCCATTACTTATTCAGGCCCAAAAACCCATCCCTATCAGAATACGGAGTATAAAACTTTTTTACATGAAATTTTTTTGTATCCTATTTGATAAAATAATATTGTAAAGTCGATCTCTAGGTTTATAAATTTTTTCATGTAGTTTTTTAATATGTAATTTTAAATTTTTAATTGAATAGCATTTGTCATATAAAATGATTTAAAAATAATTTCAGTCAAACATTGTAATGCATAATGAGAAGTTTATTTATGTACGCAAGTAGAAAAAAATAGGGTAGTAAACTCACTTTATCTCATATTTCTAAAATTATTATTTTTATTTAAGACACAAAATAGATTCTTATTTAATCATAATTATAATTACATAATTTTTATTGACAAAAAATCAAAACTGGACAAAAATTCTGAATACAAATATTTAAAGATAAGCCCATTACTTATTCAGGCCCAAAAGCCCATCCCTATCGGAATATATAAGCTTCCCAGCCTAGCCCTAATTTATTTTCAGCCGCTCTTTACTCTCTCTCTCTAATCGCCGTTTACTCTCTTTCTCTCATCCCCATGAAGAATTTTTTTGGAGATATTGGTTTTGGCGATTCATATATCGCAATATGTGATATTGTTCAACATCGTTTTTTGTAAGTTTTTTTGGATTCAAAATTTTTTATTTCAATTCATCTTTTTTTAGTAATTCCGTAGATCGGAATTAAATCACGGGATGTATATACGTATATATTCTCAAATTTTCTAAAGATCTTTAGATCTTTATATATGAATATATATACGTATATATATACAAATATATATATGAATATATATACGTATATATATATATATATTTATTTATTTATATTAAGCTACTGGGATTCGATTTTGACATGTATGAATCAGGATTGTTGAGTTAATGTTTTAATGATTTTTTCATTTTGATTCGTTAGAAGTAATTCTTAACATCGGATTGGCATGAGATCTTTACCTTTTCAATTTAGATTCTTTAGATCTTTATATATGTCGATTTACTTCAATCAATTTATATATAGTTCTCTCTCTCAATTTTTCTCTTAATCCACACTATTTCTTCATTTTTTTCATTAATTATGACAGTAGATTTTGAATCTGCACATTTTTTTCTCAAAATATGTACAAATTAAAAACCCTATATATTGTGGAATTTTATTTGGTTTGTTATTCTTGTTCTTTGAATCTGCTAACTACTAATTGCCAATAAAGACTATTATTTGTGACAAATTTGTTGCTAATGAACTCGTGGTGTATATATATATATATATATATATATATATATATATATATATATATATATATATATATATATATATATATATGCATGTATAAACATGCATAATCAAAGAACATGTGTTTAAATTTGTGTGTATAAATATATGGTTGTGATGATATTGAAATGGTGAAATTGGAAGGCTCATTCTATACGAATTATAACCGCACCGCGATGTTTCTTGTTGTCTACGTCTTGGAGTAAACGCCATTGCCCAAGACCTACCATTGACTTGAGTATTTTTCTGGAAATAAAATGGATTTGATTCTGCGCTTATTAGAAGTGGAATGTGATGTTTTGAGAATTAGAAACTGGGATGTATTTATAATAGTTCAAAGCTGTAGGCAAGTGATGTATATTAGGGTTTAAACAGTTTCATGGGCCAATTTTGCCCATAAAAGGTAGCCCATTTCTTGAATTTTTTTTCTGCAAAATGCATTAATTGTCCAAATCTTTTAAAGATTCCAATCTAAATATTTAATGTTGATAAGACATAAAGTAATCTATACATTAAAAGTAGAGATTGCTTTTTCGGCTGTCGTGCTCACACTATCCGAGGGGCCTCGTAAAAAATTAAACCCGTACACCAAGTAGGCCCAAACGCGTCCAATAAATAGGCCCAAACTCAAACAACAAAGCAGGCCCAAACCCATCCACCAAGCTCTCACTTTAGGCAGGAACACTGTTCACAAACTTCACTTAGCATTGTATATAGTAGCATTGGCAAAAATTTTAAATAAATAAAAAGTAGATAAAAATGAGTGCTAAGAGCACTGACAATGGTAGTAACGCCCGGGGGCGTGAGGGGGCGTTTAACTCCCCGGAGGCGTTAAACACCGCCCCCCGGCGGCGTTAAAGGGGCATCATCGCCTGCCCGTCATTCGTTTGACGCGGCTCGGCCCTTCGTCATTCCCCCCAACGGCTCTC